GTTTATAATTTAATCATTTTCTTGGTACGTTGTATAAATGTAGCACTATACAGCATATATATAAAATTTGGTAGAATTGCCATATTTTAACTGTGTGTGTAGATTTATTTATTACACTAAAAACTATTTTCCATCTTGCTTCATGGAATAATGTGACAAATATTCCATGAAGCTAGATGATTTTTATATTCATCATCATTAATTTTTCAATATTTTGTCTTTCAAAGTCAGTGACTATTTCAATTTTTTCCTTCTCGTGTAACTGATAGTCCAATTCTTTCCAAAATATTTTTCATAAAATTAGTCTGTTCTATACTGGAGTGTGTAACTAAAACAGTAGACTAAGTTTTATTTTATATAAGAGAGCATGTTTTGCAGATTTATAAGTAGAAATATATAACTTATTTTATTTATTTATAGATATTTATCAAAACTGAAACTGGAGTAACTATTTTAATATACACATCCTTGTTCATGCATTTCCAGCAGATTGTTGTTGTATGAATTTACAAGCATTATTGGGTTTCTTGTGAACGAGGTGTGTATATTAGAATAAATATAAATATGTTACGGACAAAATAAAAATGTTGTTGTTAAAAATATTGCCTAATGTTTTGTTCCATTAATGATGATATTTTTAAAATTATTAGAATTTTTTTTCTAGTAATAGCTATATTTAGTTTGATAATCTGTTATTTTAGTATTTATTTATATTTTTAAAATGAATATGATAAATGAAAATCTATTTTCATGGTTATATAATATATATGAAATAATAAACTATTACACACTAAAATATAAATAAGCATTATTAGAATATTAAAAATAATACTCTAATAATACTTTTAATACTTAATTGCTGAAGTTTAAAATGTAGTTTTATAAATTTTTGATTTTTTTTTACCAGTGAAGATAAATTTTAAATGAAGATGTTTATGGAAGGAAACATTCTTTAATTTTGAATGTTTTTCCTCTTAACTTTCTAAATATCAAGTACTTAACACTGTATAAATTTTATTTTGTCCATTTACACTGTTTTTCGCTAAGTACCTGAGATAATTTATCTAATGCATGCTCTCAGGCATTTCATACCTGAAGACATGGAAGTTTTTTGAGTTTTGAAAAATCTATATTCTCTTATGATTTAAACAAGTGAAATGTTGACTTAATGTGGACATGGTTTACTTACATTTGAGGAAAGCATGCATAAATTCCAAAAAATTTTGTCTTTAGACATGTAATAAACAAATTCAAAAATTTATAGTCTTAAATAAGGTAAAGTTAAATAAAATTTGTAACAAAAACATATAATGTACTGTACAAAAAAAATTTCTTAAAAAAATTAATTGAAAGTGGCATGTGAAAAATACATATTTACAAATTTCTACTATACAACTTTAATGTTTACTGAAGTTTTTTCTTTTGTTCCTATAGTCAGAGATTAATTTTGTATATGGATATAACATATACAACAATCTGATACATATGTATTTCCAAATGATCTTCTGGATTTTTTCATGTGTTAAGCAGGAGTTGTGCATTCAAGTTCCACTCCAGGCCAATTTTTTTCTTTCAGATTATATTAAATTAAAATTAAAAATTAATTTATTTTTAATTATTAAATTTATCACAAGATGGCAATTTAACTGCCTACCTCTAGCCAAATTATCTATCTTTTTTGAAGGCAGTTTTTAAAATCTCATACAAATGTATTTAGCAAGTTAACATTTTTCTTCACTTTCTTTCAGTTAGAGACATTACTGCAATTCTTACAGAAAGCCAAATTTTTTTTAATAGTTTATTTATAGACTTAATCTAATGAGTTACAACCTACTTATTTCATGTAAAAGTATCTGACAATGAATATATGACACTAATGATAGTTGTCAGTTTATTAAAATCTTGATTCTGTAACATGTTTGTTAATAAATAAATATTTTATAGTAGGTAAATAGTTTGATCATCTTTAGATTATTATGAACTTACAAATTTTATAGATTTTTTTTTATTTTTTTGTATTCATAAAAACAAATTATCTGTTTACATTATCTCTGTTCTTTTATATGCTTGAAAGTTCAACAAAACCTTATATATAGTTCTATTGTAAGCTTAATTTCTTATTCTTTACATATCTGTAAATTTTATGTTAAAACTGAATTTATCAAAAATTATATGGTGATTTTTCTGCATTTTAGAGACATTCATTTAAATTTTAAAATTTATTTTGAGGTGGCATCATGTATTCTAAGTGGCATAAAGCAAGCACAATGGCCATGTATTTTGTTTGGATAGCAAGAGAGCNTTTTTTTATGATTCAACTATCATCTTATCTGCGCAGATATACGGTATTTATTGTTGTTTTTGTATTATGACATCAAACTATTTTGAAATTACTTAAAGTAGACCGGGAAAAATTTTGATTATACTGTGTAATTTTAATATGTAGAATGACAATGATGTCTTTAGTGCAATATAACATAAATAACCATATTCAAATTTTAAAACATTTTGCTATTTTAAAAACACTGTGCTAGTTAGACAAAATTATAAATTTGACAGAACTCCTAATAAACTTACATTAAACTCTTCCCAAATCTTCATTATTATCCTTGGTTTTGTACAGCCATCAATTTGAGGACTGGTGTTAGTCTGAAAATGAAAATAAAATGCACAAAAATATAAATAATTATAACAACTCTATCAGTTTTCATTTTAATAACTTTTTCTTACACAATCACAATTAATTTCCAATTATTTTTTTTCCCAGTCCATTAATATTTTAATAAATTCAAAAAATTATGGGATGAATTTTAAAAACTGTTTTTACCCCCTTTTTTGAAATTAAAGTTTTATGATCATGGATTAATAACAGGACAAGTGTTTTACGAGGCATGTTTTTAAGTAAGTACCATTTTAAAATATGACCACTATAGTGCTGTGGTTGGTGTTCTGCAAATGTGCACTGAGTACCTACATCTGTTGGCTAGCCACAGATGCAATTATGGAAGCATTCGTTTGTTTTGTGTTTGTTTGTGTGTGTTTAAAATGCCTCCATACAATTGAAAATCCCACTGATTGTTAAGTACACATGGTGATTAGTTTTCTTAATACAAAAGATGTGAATGCAGCTGACATTCATTGGAAAATTAGTGAGGTGTATGAAAAAAATGTTATGAGCAATGGAATGGTAATAAAATGGGTTAGAGCATTTAAAAATGGCCATACTAATGTCCATGACAAGGAGCATAGTTGGCGAGCATCTGCCATCACTGAAGACTTTTTACAGAAAGTTGATGCAAAAATTTGAGAAAACAGATGCTTTACGATTTCATCATCCAAAACAAAAAGCACGGCAAGCTCAGTAAGGGGATTGTTTTGCTTTCATGACAATGCCTGTCCATACATGGCTCAACGAACCCGAGACTTTATCACATCATATGGCTGGGAACAACTTGATCACCTTCCATATAGCCCTGATCTAGTGCTTAGTGACTACCATTTGTTCCTCCACTTGAAAAAACATCTAGGCGGTGTCAGCACTATGACGATGATGATGTCAAAACAGTCATGCTACAGTGGTTGGCAAATCAGGCAGCACTTTTTTTTGAGGATGGAATTCAGAAGTTGGTTGTATGATATAATAAGTGCCTTAATATTAGAGGAAATTATGTTGAAAAGTAGATTAAGGTACAGGCTTTCTTGTAAGAAAACAAATTTCATTTGTGTTTTTTTAATATCAAAACAGTACTTACTTAAAAAAAACATGCTTCATACATAATATAACATCTTGTTTTAAATTTTAATACCGTGTTTTCCCGAAAATAAGACATCCTCTGAAAATAAGACCTAGCAGAGGTTTAGCTGAATTGCTAAATATAAGGCCTCCCCCTGAAAGTAAGACCTAGCAAAGTTGTTTTTTTACTCGTAACGGTCATTGACATATGGTTGAAAGTGGCCGTTGGCTTTTTGAAAGTACAGCCACTGATTGGTCAGCAGACAATCATGCCACACGGCATGATTTGTATAAGATTATGGCTTGGGAATCACAGATTTGCATAACATTACAGCTGGTGATCGCTAATTGGTCAGCCGGGAATCACGCCACATCACATTTGCATAGTGCTACGGTTCAGTAAGCATTAATTGGTCATCGAGCCCGATGTCGACACTATAAAAAAGTTAAGTTGAAGTGAGAGTGGGAAGTCCACTCCCGTATGGGAACTTCGTAAGTTAATTTCGGTTCGTGACTTTGGTTTTATTTAAGTTCAGTTCAACACAACCTGATATACATCACTCTTGTCAAACTTCAACTTGGGAATTTTTTTGTTCAACAATAAATGTGAATTCTTCTTCATGGAATCATAAGACATCCCCTGAAAATAAGACCTAGTGCATCTTTAAGAGCAAAAATTAATATAAGACACTGTCTTATTTTCAGAGAAACAGGGTAGTTTGATTATTCTGAAAAGATTTTTTTTGCTAATTAACAATTTTAAGCTTGTAAATTTGGTTTGGTTCCTAAGCTTTTGTTTGCTTTAGGTCACAAGACCAATAAACTATGTCAAAACCAAAATTAAAACTGAAAAGATGTGTACTATGTCCATATTGACATAATACATGTGAATTTTCAATTAGAGTGAAGAGCAAACAATGTGAACGAGGCTGTATTAAGTTGACTTTGTGTTTGATTCTAATGTTCACTGCAGTTTTTGAGACCAGAAAAGTCCAAACAAGAGGTGCACATTAGAATTGGGAAAATAAGGTATTAAATTTTAAGGAAAAAAGTGATGATTCTTGTTATTTTTTGATTTTTCTGATTTTTATTTGTCTTGACTTATAAATGATTTTATAAAAAGTGTCATATGCAAGTAAATTATGTTGGAATTAATTTTTAATTATCATAATTTTCATCTTAAAATTAAATATTAATTTAGCAAGATCAATATTTTTATACATGTTTTCAAGTTACTTATGTATATGTATGTATTTTTTGTTTTTAGTGGTGGCTTGAGCAATTTGCTTTATTATTGTTCCTTACCAGAGACTCATACACCTTTAATAGGAGAACCTGGTCAAGTTTTACTTCGTATGTATGGACAACTTCATGATGGTGGTGTAGACTCAACAGTAACAGAGAGTGTCATATTTATGATGCTGGCCGAAAGACGACTTGGACCAAAACTCTATGGAATATTTCCTGGTGGCAGATTAGAAGAATACATTCCAGTAAGTGATTATACTTCAAATATAAATCAATTATATAAGAAAATATAATGACTTTAACATTCTTTACAAATTAAAGACCATAGAGTAAGTAATTATAATTAATTTCTTCTGTGTTAAAGAGAGTATTTTAAAAAAATAATTCTTAAATTAATGAAATATATAACATAAGAAAATATTCTACAGATTAATTTAAATAATGATATAAACTTTAAAAAATCTGATCACAAGATAAATTTTTCTAACATGCAATTCATGATTAGAAATCAGAAATTAAATATAGTTAGTCACTCTCATTAAAATTATCATTATCATTCCAGATGAAATAAAGAAAATATGTAGGAAAAAAATAAAATTTGAATATCAAACACACTATATGTTGTTTGTTTATTTTGCTTTAATATTTAAAATTTTTTTAGTACAAATCAAAGCTAAGCTATATTACTAAATGTAAATCTGAAATAAAAATTTAACTGGATATAACTCAAAATAATTTAATGATTTGGACTTAACAGTTTAGAAAAAAGTAAATTTCTAAATTTTTGCAAAATATGATTGAACTTTATTCAGTTTTGTTCATTGATTAGGCTTTGTGATAAGTTAGTAAAAATTAAACATCCAATCAAATTTTAGTGCATGAAAAGCAAGTTTACATTTTACTTGCAAAGCAAATGGAAACATTTGCTTTGGAAGTAAAATGTAAAATCATATCTATTTTGATCATTTACTCTCTGTAGATTGAAATGTTGGAAAGACATATTTTACTCAGTACATGATTAATTGGTTTCAAGAAACTTACATTAAATGAAATTGCATAAAGCAAGTTAAATTTTACATAGGAATACATTCTTAAAAAGAAGAAGAATGACTTTTATCTGTGTAAAATTTAGAAAAATACTGTGTATTTGCTACTACCTATCATTACAGGCAGTTTTTAACTTATGGGAAATTCACTCTTTCATACACTTTCACACTCCTAATTCACTTTACATATGTCAAATAGGCACTTTCTTTCATTTCCAGCTAACAAAAAAAATTTTAAGCTCTTGTGCAATGAAATAGTCTGCTAGTTTAGTTAACAGAAAAATCATTTCTAAGAACTAATTTTTGTCTGTTTTCTGTTTATTTAAAACATTAAAACCATAGACTCATATTTTATGCATTATTGTGTAAAAATATATTATAATTACATTGTACATTATGTTGTAAAAATATAAAATTATTTTAAAGGTAGAAGAACTTTATAACTTACTTTTAGCTCTGGAAACAGAACCTCTTTTTATCACATGCAACTCTATTATTCAACTTTCATACACATATGGTTATCTCCATTGTGTTCTTAAAATATGTCCAAGTCAAGCCATTCCATGAAAATTTCTAACCTAGATTTAAACACAAGCCCTTAAGAATAACGCAGCAATGCTTTGGCTGTACACCTGTAACTATGAATTCAATTAAAATTTATTGTTGTTACACATTTCAAAAACATATTACTCACTGATTTATTTAAATTCTCATACTCCAAACTTACATATACCACATTTCCTTGATTAAACCTCAGGTTTAGAATAAATAGCAGGTAATAAAGATATTAGAAGTTCCCATGTTGTTAAAAATAAACCCAGGATTGAACAACTTAGAGAACATGTCAAAATACTTCACTGTATAGGGTAGTGTAATTTAAAATAACAGGTAAGGAATTTAGTTAAAATTCTACCTTTCAAATTATCTAGAATCAGACAGCATTTTCTGTTCCAAGGGAATTACAGGAACATTTTTGAAAATGAAATTATAAATATTGTTGAATATTCAGCATGGGAAATTTGTAATTGAGTTCACAAATCAAGAGCTTATCAAAGGATAATTAGGAAAACTCTAATTTGAGATGTTGAATTTGAACCAGAAGATGGAAGTTAAAATCTTGATTTTGGCTAATGTTGGAACAGACATGAATGATAACATGACAACTGAATTAGAAGATATTAAATCACTCTTTTCTAAATTAGAAGATATTAAATCACTCTTTTTCTCTTTTTTTCTGCACTTAAAAAACCAACAAACCTCAAAAATTCTTTTAAAATGCTGTCTGATCAGTTGATTGACCTTCTTCAGGAAAAATTTTGAAAAATTCCGATTTATAAAGAACGAAACCTATTTTGGAACCTAGGTTCCAAAATAGGTTTCGTTCTTTATAAATCTGATATATTTCCTGAAGAAGGTCAATCAACTAACTGAAAGCATTAGATTTAATAAAAAAACTGCATCTTAAAAGGTTTTTGAGGTTTGTTAGATATTAAATTTGTATTAGAACAGTAATTATTCAAGTGTTGTAGCTATAAACAGTAAATAGTTAATAAACACCAAAGTCTGATAGTTTCAAAAATGTACAAGTAATTAAGGTATTTCTTTCAGTTTTAATCCACTTGTCAACTATTGAAAGGTAATAAACTTCAGCCTCAAAAAAACTAGACTTCAAATAAACCCCAGAGGATACATGTTTTAAAAATAAACCCAAAGTTTAATTGTGAAAATATGATAAACTGATTTTTGTGTGTCAAATTGTTAAATTGTTTCTTAGTAATATATTATATATTGGAAATCACATAAAATTGTAAATACTTTTGAATATTTTTATAATAATTTTTTTTAGACTTTTTTCCAGTAAATGCAGAACTTGCATAAGTTATGTATTTATGTAAGTTGGGAAGTTCCTTTATTTGTAATTTGACCTGTATTACATGAATATATCAGAATTTTTGTTGAAGTTTCTCAAACAAAGACATGTAATTCATAATAATTACATAATCCAAAAAGTTCATCTAATTAACAAGAATTATCATTCATAATAATAGTGCTGTGAATTTTAAATTTTATATGTTAATTATAATTGTTAATAATAAATATATGTTAATTATATGTTATGTTAATATTTAAGTTTTATATGTTAATTAAATCACTTTTTGTTTTTTAACTGGATTAAAATAAAAATTTTAATAGAACAAACATTTTTCAATAATTACATCACCATCATAATCAGATTTAAATAACAAATTATGTAGAATTANCTAGCTATTGGAAAGGTAATAGTTATGTCATACTCTTTGATATAAAAATGGATGACTGAAATTTAGAATAACATATTAATATTAAATTTTGTGTGAATACTTCAACTATAATATAAGTTTTCATTATATTTTATCTTATTAATTTGGACTTGTTTTGTTACAATTTACTCATATTAAAATACAACAATCTTTGATAAAGTGTAAATTAGTCAGTGATAAATGATTGTATTTTTAAATTGAGTTTTTTCAAATAAATAAAGACTGATCAATGAATTTTAATTCAGTTTTTATAAATCCACAAAATGCTGTTCTATAACCCATGAGTAATGTTAATTATAACTAAATGTAGAGATTGGAATTTTTAGATTAAGTAATGTGTTCTGGAAAATGTATGTTTAAATTGTGTTGCTTAAAATTGATATAGATATCCTGTTCCTGTATCAGTTAAGTAAAGCATACAGTATGTTATAATTATTGCTGTAATTATGTAGTCAAAGTAAAAGTAGTTGATAGAAAAAAGAGAAAATGCACTTTAATGAAGAATTTTGTAGAAAAGAATGTTTTATCGTTCTCCAAGTTGTTGTTGCATGAAGTTTTTATTTTTTTAATATGATATCATCATTATTCTGAAGAAAATTTCAGAATATCCAGAATAATTTTAAAAATTTATATTATTTACTTATATATATAATAAGTATATTTTTAACATTCATTTTTTCTTCTGTTGCTTCTACCAGAAAGAAAATAACTGAAACAAAAACACATACAATGAGAAAAGGCAATGATGATTTTTTGATGAAGTTAATCAATGAACAATGACCAGTAAACTTTTAAAGTTTACTTTTTTATGGTTAACAGAAAGAACATCATTAGTAATTTACACACACACACACACACACACACACACACAATGCTGGTAGATACATTGTGTTTGCATAATATGTAGCTACTCCTCCCTCTGATCTCTAATTAGCTTCACATTGAGAGATTTTCTAAGAATAAAAAAAATAATAATAATAGTTATTGAGAACTTTTAAAATATATTTAATACAAGAAGGAACAGAGAACAAAATAAAATTGAACGAAAATTGTTGTTCCAATCTTGTGGCCCCCTTGAAGTCTAACATAAGGTTCAATGAGTGTTTTAAACATGCATATTTTTTGAGTCATTTTATTGGATTGCTTAAAAATGGACATCCTTGTGTATTCTTCTTAGTTATGTATATATATAATTGCAAATTGTCCTTTTAGTCTAGCAAAATGTAGTGAAAGTTTTTATCTTTTAAATCAATTTTACAATTACATTTTTCTTAGTTATTTTTTCTATCGCAATTCAGTTTTGAGTATATTGAAAATATTTCTTTTCTGTTAGAAAGTGGCAAGTGGTCTTGGGACCAGTTATAAATCTTACCATCTGCTTCTGTTTACATCACATTTCTTTTTTGTACACATTCTGTATTGATTTTGTAGGAAATTTGTTTGTCTGCCAAGTTTTTCAACTTTATTATCATTACCAGTAAAGTGGAATAAAAATGTAAAATAAATTGAACTTCTGAAAAAGAACTATTGAATTTGTTTAACTTTGTTCATCTGCTCAAAAGTAGTGATTTTATTTAAATATTAATTTAAGAATAGTCATAACTCTCATCACATCACATGCAAGAAATTGAGAGTTATAGCATCTAATTATTGTTAATTAATTCATTATAATTTTTAATTTTAAATTAGATAACAAATAAAAACATTAATAATTCTCTTATTTCAACATTTTGAAAGACCTTTATGTTGAATGAATATCCAAAAATAATATTCAGTAAATTGATGAAACAAAATAAAAAATGTACAACTAATTACAAAAAAAGACATTAAAAATAGTTATGTACTAATAGTTTAATATAAAGGCTTATTTGAAAAACTTAAATTAAAATTTTTTACTAT